CGATGCCTCGAAAGTGGGGTGCGGTGCTATATTAAGCCAAAACAATGACGGAAATGATTTGCCGATATGTTTCGCGTCAAAATCTTTCAATAAAGCAGAACAGAATAAACCGATAATCGAACTTGAACTTTTAGCTATATATTTTGCGATCAAGCTGTTTCGACCGTATGTTTACGGCACTCACTTTACGGTGAAATCTGACCATCGACCCTTAGTTTATCCCTTTAACATGAAGGACCCGTCGTCAAAGCTTGCTAGAATACGCTTAGAAATGTCAGAATACGACTTTACAATTGAAAATATAAAAGGAAAATCGAATGTAGGAGCGGACGCATTGTCACGGATTACAATAGACGAACTAAAAGACTCAACCAAACAAGTACTAGCGGTAAAAACAAGATCAATGACGAATAGAACACAATTAAAGTACGATAGTGAATGCAATGACAAAATTAAATTACAGATTTATGACAAATTTTCATATGATTTCTCAAAGAAAATACCCCGGGTAAAAACAAATATAATATATGATAAAAATAATGAAATTTCAAATTTTCAAGTTTGTGCACATTTAAAACACAAAAAACTCGAGTTACTTAATTTTACGATTGTTATCGAAAAAACGAATTTCGATGAGTTACTTTCGCGGCTTGAAGTCGAAGCCATCAGTTGTAATATTAAGACGTTAGAATGGCCAAAAAATGATTTATTTTTCAAATATTTTACAATTACGAACTTAAAAGATCGCGGAAATAAAATTTTAAAGAACTTAGAAATTATATTGACGGATCCAGTCGAAACTGTGACCGACGAAGAAAAGAAACACCAACTATGACAATATACCATAACGACCCAATAAGTGGAGGACATTGCGGACTCAAAAATCCGAACGAAATATTTTTGGAAAAATATGACCCGCGACATATCAAAATTTGTCAAGAATTGCGAGAAATGCTTACTAAACAAGCCAAAACCAAAAACAAAAGAAACCCTTGTTTTAACGCCAACACTTATCAAACCTTTCGAAATAGTGATAATTGATACAATAGGGCCTTTTCCAGAATCAACAAGTGGTAACAAGTTCGCTGTTACTATGATTTGTGATCTGACAAAGTATTTGGTAACCGTTGCTGTTCCAGACAAAAGCGCCAAAACGATCACCTCTGCTATTTTTGAAAGTCACATACTAGTATACGGCATAATGAATTCGATCAGATCAGATTTAGGAACGGAATATAAAAACGAAATATTTTCGGAACTAACAAAACTCTTGAAGATTGATCATAACTTTTCGACAGCACACCATCACGAAACAGTGGGCACTATTGAGCGAAATCATCGCGTTTTCAATGAATACTTACGTGCATACCTAAATGAGATTATTTCAGACTGGGACATTTATCTTAAGTATTTCACCTTTTTGCATAATACTACTCCAAATTCTGTTTTTGACAATAAATTTACTCCATTCGAACTAGTTTTCGGAAAAACACCGACCTTACCGCAAGAATTGAAAAAGGAAAAAATTGATCCCATTTATAATGTTGAGAATTATGCAAAAGAGGTTAAGTACCGGATGCAAAAGTCACATGCAATAGCCAAAGAATTAATTATCAAACATAAAATCCGTAACAAGAATTTGTATGATAGACACTCTCGTCCAGTAGATATTAAAGAAAACGATCTCGTTCTAGTACAAAAAGAACCCCGAATTAAACATGAAAATATATATCTGGTGTTAATATTACCATTTTCGATAAAGAAAAAGATAAAGTAAAAACAATCCACAAAAATAGAGTTCAAAAAATTAGTTGAAACTTTCATCTCAACCAATTATTATTTCAACAACAACATGTATATGAATTTCTCAAGTCAAGCAAACAAACAAAAAAAAAATGTGTAAAATGAAATATTCACTATATAGAAATTATTCACCAAATGAACACAGTCCCTTCATTTATATAAACGCAATATTATTAATACTAGAGAAAATTGCTTTAAATGTACTTTCGTTTATTTATAAGAAATAAAATTGTAATAACTAAATTACAATACTTTAAACTACAAAAGAAAATGTTACTTAAAACTACAGAATTTTTAATGAACAAATATTGTACTATAAAATACTTTGAAATTAAACATTAAAATGTATAGTTAAATATTTCTGAAAACAAAAAAATATTCAATATAAGACTAATTTAATTTTTCCAATTCAAATAAGTTTAGCCTAATACTAATTACCATTAAGTAATTTTATATAATGTATATTTAGTTAGCACGTTATGGAGTATGCATTTCCAAATTGCTATGGACGAACGAATAAAAGGGGGGAAAGAAAATTGATATAACATTTTCGTTCCTCCAAAGCAATTTGACATACTATGTGGAAAGAAGATTTTACAAGTCTGATGACCTTGTAAAACTTCTTTTCCCATAGGCGGTTGGTGTAATGGCACTACACGCGATGTGGTAACATCTTACATGGCAACACTTATGTTGCCCAAAATAATAAAATTACATCGCGTGTGTTGTCAACACTGCCGAGCTTACGATCCACATTCGTTCTAGAAGGTGTATCGTAGCTCGGCTTCCAAGAAGCCATTTTTCAATCGCTACTCGACTCTTAACTAAAACGGTTGTCCGGAAATAATATAAGAGGAATTAAGAAGTTATAAATTAAAAGTTAAATAAAATTAAATAAAGAAAATAATTTTTATAAACGAAAGTAGTGTGCGGGTGTGTTTACTAAATAAAATTAAAAATAAGATGGCGGCCGTGCAGGGCTTGGCAACCTGCCAAGCATCAAGCAGACGCAGCGTGGAGTGTCCAGCAGCACCAGCAAGGAGTAGCGTGCAGCAATCCCTTTTTTTCGCACGCACCAGTACGTGGGTGAGTTTGTCCAATTTTTATAGAAAGTGGGTGCTACGCCCCACGCACCAAGCGCTTCCGCACAGCCGCATTAAAATATATCACATTTATGTACATTACATAAAACACTTTTTTTATGGTGCTAAGCAAAAAATATTTAGGAACATAAAATTTCATTTCGTTTTGTACTAAAATACACTCTTTTGCACTCAATGCATAAGAACTTATATGCTAGCTATACTGGTCCACAAAATAAAATAATTGCGATATTTTGACCGATTTTGTCTTTTTTATTTAATGTTTATTATTTTTTTTT